GTATGTGATCCTTGAATTAGAATAACTTGTAAGGCATACTTTTATGTTTGTGGCTGATCTCAAGCCACATACATAAAACACGTTTAGGTAAAATGACAGTCCCCATCCTGGCCACTGTATTCAAGACAGTGGTGTAGGTGAGTGACATGGCAGCTTCCACAAACCAGTGCCCGCTCCTGTATATTTTTAAAGGATGAATGTGTAATCAGTGCTTAGTGTATATTTATTAGTCCAACATTTTTTTTTCTATTAAATATCCTCAGAAATTAATGCAGAAGCATGGTGTGAAAAACTAAATACAGACTGTGATTCAGTAGCTTGCAGGACCTTTAGCAGCAATAATATGATGTAAATTGCTGTAAGACTATCAGTCTGTTATCTGTGGAGGCCTTTTGGGCCACTCATCTTTATATCTTCAGATCTCAGCTGAAGGCATTGTTTTATGCACAGCTCTCAAGGTCTATAGTAGTTTAGTTGGGTTTTTAATTGAACCTTTGAAAAACCTTGGTGGTCACCGCAACGATCGGGGGACATGTGACTACAAAATAAGTTCAAAACATCACCCTTCTACCACTGTGCTTGATATGTTGGTGGGTATGAGGTGTTTGTGCTGATGTGCTGTGTTTGGTTTTCTCTAAATGTCCCGCTGTGCATCATGGTCAAACATCTCCACTTTGGTGTCTTTTATCCGAAGGACAAATTTCCAAAAGGCTTGGGGTTTAAGGTGCAACTTTGCAAACTGCAGCTGACTTTTCTCCAAGCAATATTTCCAAAAAAGCAATACTTGTTCAGTCTTTCGTAAATTGTACTCTCTCCAACTTTAACATTTTAAATGTTAACTGAAGTCTGAAGAATCTGATCTGGAGCTCTTGGGTTTTTGGTCATTCTGTGAGCACTGAGCTTATGATGATTTTCCTGGGACATCCCGTAAAGATTGATAGCTCTCCTGAATATTTACCGCTTTTAAATCCTCTTTCTTGCTGCAGAATAATAGACTTCAGATTGGTGGAAATGGCTTTAATAACTATTCCCAGATTTATGGGCAGCAACAGAAACTTCTTTAAGATTATTGCTGGTGTCTTGTGATAACATGCAACCGAGTGCTCCACACAAGCAAACTGCCAAAACATCTGCTTTCACAGAAGAGGTCACACTTGCTGATCTCTTGATTAAGTGCGTTTATTGAGAAACAATCTAGAGCTGCCCTCTTAACTCCTATTGAAGCAGTAAGGTTAATAAGTTCTTAATGTCAAATTCACCTACACAAAAATAGCACAATCACAGTAATATACTGTATATCTGGGACTATAAGCAGTAAAACAACAAAAAAGCTCTTTTTTTTGTTTTAATTACCTGTTATTGCTAAGATGTTGGCTAGTTATTTGTTCTAATACACAAGTTTGAATATAATTCTGAAAAAAAATTGAACATAACTGTGTATAATATTAATGCTGAAATCCTGCTGGCGCAGATGAAATGCAGAGTTAATTTAGGAAATGTCATCAGATTCCCAGGTGTGAGACAGTGCTGCAGGGTATTCAGAGAGACAGGATTACACACCCAATTAGTGAGTTAAATTATCTGCAACAAAGATACCCCCCCACCCACCCCGTGTGGCCTTGGAAACATGTAATTGGTTAAATACGGTAAATTTGACACTGAATTTAATCGATTTTCTGACTAGGATTACATATTGTGCATTAAGACAGCAACATGACATGAATACAATAGAGCACGAGCTTTAACTCTGAAAGGTAGCATGGGCTGGTGCACTCTTGCTTACACAGGGTTTGTATTTTGAGCATGGATGACATGCAGCAACACCAGCTTCTGTATCTCAGTTGCTCTTCTGAGGCAGATTTTTAAAAACATATTTACACTTAGGCTAACTGGGACAATTACATATCTGTAGAGTAAATAGGATTTGCAACTTTCAGGCTACATTTCAGTTACTTTCTACGTACTGTGCAGACAAACTGCAGTTAAAGCAGAACCTCATAATCTCCTGAAGCCACACACTGCTCCGGCTGCTCCTGCTATGTGGATCCATGACAGTTCTGTTTTAACCGCTTGGGTTTGTGATGTACAATGGATCCTCCTCTACTGCGTCAAATGGTGACCAGAGGAGAAGACAAAGTGCAGCCAAAACTGTCTGCTGAGGCTTTTTTGGTGTTCCCAAAATACCTCTGCACGTCAGTGCACTCTCAGCAGACACACAATGGCACGTGTCACAAAACAGTGAATGTGACACTGATCTGAGGCACCACACTCGGGCTTGACTGTTGTGGACTCTTCCACAAAAACGCTGTTTGGTCTGTGGGTTGTAGAAGGAGCATTTTTCATGCAGCTTATTGAAATTCAGAGTACTCACAGATTTTTTTTAAAGTCTTTTTTCATATATTTCAGTGCTATGCACTGATAACGTAGCACTAGGATCTCATAAAAATTCTGTGGCTACAAACAAAATCAGTCGCCTGAAAACTGATGCAGTAAGAAATCTGAGAACCTGAGAAGCTTTAATCAAAACAGTCAAATGAAAAAGCGTCCCAGCAAGCGAAGCATCTTTTGCCTGTGTACACATCTGTGACCATTTTGTTCATTATTCACCAACATTGCATGACCTTCTTACAGGACATTACCTCTCCTCCCTCGCCTCCATCTGGCCGTGTAATCCTGCAGCCGTGGCGTTGGTGTCAGTGCTGGGATCCACTGTCACACAGGCGGACACAATGGTTGCACTGTAGTCCCTTCACAGTATTGTTTTCCCCCGAACTCAGAGGCACAATAAGGCCCTTATCCACTCAGGACTGGCAAGCCTGCTGTCAGGTGCTTTTCTCCCAAGCTTGTTCGTGAGCTGAACCCATGAAGAGAATTTGTCTAAAGAACCGCTTGGAAAAAGTGTCTCTTTTGGTTCATATTGAACATGCGCAGAACATAGACTGAAATTACTCTGGTTTTTTTTATGTTGTAGAAGCTGAAACCTTACATAAGAACATCAGATCCTGACTGATAAGCCCAGAAATTGTTTAGTGAAAAATATGAGCATGTTAAAAGGAGACGTCTGGTAGAGCCTTACTCATATAATGTGAAACGTGTGTGTGTATATATATATATGAAACATAAACAGGTTTGCCAAACATTTCAACTTTCATTTCTCATTTATTTATTTACTCTTGCAGTTGAAGAGCATTTCCGTTAAACCTTCTTCTTTTCTTTTTACATTTTTATTATCAGCCATTAAAAAAAGTTGTCTGAAATGGGGAAAAATGGCAAACATATCAGATTTAGGGATCACATTTGGAGGGTTGTCTTTAATCCTATTTTCATCTATCTAGTAGACAGTGTAGTGGTAAGACTGCACACACCCCCCCCCCCAGTATCCAGTAAGGGTCCTGGCTAGACCCCCATGTTGAAAACCAAAACCCTGGAATGGCGTGGCCACGTGTATGTGTGTGTGTAATCATTGTGTATGTGACGAATAAAGCTTGGTTGTTGTTGTTTTTAATTCATAATTATAGTTATTTTTTTCAGTAAAATAGCCCTATTTCTTAGAATTGTCTCAAAACCAATGGAAGGAAGTTTCTCCAAGATTAGATGGTCAAGATCAGTACTTATTCTATGTTGGGCTGTAAGTGACAGTTTCCCACTACTATGGTTTAAAAGAGAAATTCCTCTCTCGCCCTGCGAGGCGGTTTTTATCCTTAAAGCTCGGGTCCTCTACCCAGAGGCCTCGGAGCTTGAGGGTCCTGTGCAGTATCTTTGCGATTCCTAGAACTGCCACTTGCCCTGCTCAGGTCCTCCACTGCACCGAGGGCTCCGAATATCGCTTGGACCACTGTTGCCTTCACCTTCCACATCTTGAGTTCTTCTCTCAGCCCTTGACATTTCTTGAGCTTCTCCTGTTCGTTCTTCTTGATGTTGCTGTCATTCGGTATAGCTTCTTTGCTTAGCATTTTAACAGCGCCCTGTTATCAATCAACCGACCTGCCTGCCTACATACCAAACTGACTGACTGACCAACCATTAAATAAGTGCTGCCGTTTGTGTTTGTCCTTGAATTCACGCCCTCTGTGGATATGTGGTGCATGTGCTGTACTGTTCTTTCAACAAAGAAAGAAATGCTCATTTTAAATGCACAATGAGCACACACAGTGCTACTGTCTACCTTGTCTTACTCCTCCACACTCGCATTACTCTAGTTAATCCCTGCCAGATTTCAGTTGGCCAAAACCACAGCAGTTCTGTCATGCGCTCACACAGACACACTAAAGCACAGATTCACCCAGCTGGCATATTTTACAGATCAAAATACTGGGTCACAATAGGATCCAGAGTGTTGACCCTGTCCCTGCAGATCCACACATCTATTGCTGATGTGATTATGTTTAATCCACTATGTCCCTGTGATCTACCTATTGAAAAAGAACAACGTGTGGCTTGTAGACAGATTTAAGATGAATTTTGGTTAAGATGAACAGTTTGAACCACAGCTTTTGCATGCCTTTTTTTAATGTCATGCAGATGTGTGTTGTTAATGAGAAGGTGCCATAATATCCCTGTACAGCACTTTGATCTTCTGTTTACTTTCTTGTGTAGCATGATTGTGCTAACCTATACAGAAGTGCAGAACTAATTACTCTCTTCAACCTCAAGTGGTCTTGGCAGATGGCTGCCCTGAGGCTGGTTCTGCATAAAGGAGAGATGGTTTTCTGGAGACATCTCTCCTTCTGGAGATTTGTGATGAGTGTTTTTCTAATTGGTCATATTACAGTGACCTGCAACCCAGGTGAGACATGGTGCTGAAAGAATCCTGGCCTAGAAGGGTCAGAATTTGTGTGACGATGTAATGCATCCCTTTCACATTTCTGATGGCTTTTTTTTTCTCTTTGTATTAACTGAAAGGAGCATTTTGCCCGAGTCATATAGAACTTTTAGCACTATTGTACACGGAAACAAGGAAACCTGGCAGAGCCTAATCACTGTTTCTGGATTTTCTGCAGGATTCGTCCTCAGCTGGCCAGGGAGAAGATTGAGGGATGTCACATCTGTACGTATGTGATGCCTGGAGAGCCTCAGGTGATCCTGGGGAAAGACAAGGCCTTCACCTATGACTTTGTGTTTGACATGGACTCGCAGCAGGAGACCATCTACGGTACCTGCACAGAGAAGCTGATCGAAGGCTGTTTCGAGGGCTACAATGCCACTGTGTTTGCATATGGACAGGCAAGTCTTTGTCCTTGGTGTCAAAACTGCAGCACTGCTGGTGTTCCTGGTCCCTGGTCTTTTATGCACAATACTCTCTTGTTAACTAATATATTTGGCTGTTAAAATCTGCATTTGAAATCATGTGAGCTCCTCCGACCCTCTTTATCTGACTTATAATCTTGCAAGTTGATACTCAGAAAAAAAAAAAAGGCCTGTTTCCACTGCTCAAAAACTGATTTGTGCTCATTTGTGCATCTGCATCATAACTGGAAAAAGTGCAGTAAAATAGACATTTTTCTATGATTTGCAGTTAAAAAAAAATCTTATTCATCTTATACTGGTTCTTTACGCTGGTCTTTTTATTTAAAGATTTGGCCATGTTTACTGTTTACATTCATCACAAATGACAAACTAAGAAAAAGAAAAGCAGAATATTTCCATTGCATTGAGTATTTGCCACTGATGTTTACATAATCACTGCCAGCGATACTGCCATTATAAAGCTTTGTAAGGTATTGATAACTTTGTTTTATTCCTTAGCCATAAAAGGCTGATGGGGGTATTGTTGTCACCCCACTGGCAGGCGGGTGGCGGGGACACCCAAATTTGCAAAGTGCAATAACTGGAGAATCTGCGAATATGGGATTTTGAAATTGATACCATAGGAGCATCTGCTAAAAGTGTTGGACAAGATTAAATCCCAGTGGCCTTGACAACAAGGTCAAATATCAAGTTTTCTGAAAATCTTGTGAATGCAATAAAACGAGAACATGGTGACGAAGGATTTTGAAATTGATGCCATGGGTATATGTGCTAGGATGCTGAGTGGTAGCACCGACGGCAACCAGTTGCATCGTCAGCTGTAAAATCAAACACTGAAAAAAAAATTAGTGGTGATGGCTATACATTCTTGTCGTTAAATCTATCCACAAAGTACCAAGAAATCTAACCTGAAAAGTCACAATTTGGCTTGTTACTTTTTAACAAAGGAAGCTTTATGCACAATAAATTGAAATTTTGCAGACAAAACTTGATGTTTTGATGTTGTTTTTTTTCCTTGTCTTTTTAAACTGTTACATAAAGCACAATCATTTTTAACTTTGTGCCAAATATTTGTTGTCTACCTCAAAACCTTTCAGATATTAGATTGTTGTTGGACTTTTTATTTTAACACGCTGGGGTTGGTGAAATTGTTTTTGTAAATTTTTACTGTTTTAAAAATGTATTTTTAAAATTTTACCTGAAGTAAGTAGTTCTCACTTTCACTCATTTTCAATATCATGTTTAATTGATACTAAAAACGAGTTCCAGCCTTTTAAAAATGTTTTTCTTTTTCAGCATTTCCATTACATGGAAATAACCTGTAGTTTCTGGTCCCCCCTCATCCCCCCTACAACTCAGGTTTCTTTAGCAGCAGAGCTTCTGCTGCATACGATTCAGTAGAGAAGTGAAGCGCACACACAGATATACATCTTTAATGTGTGTCCATATTAACCTGGATCTCCCTAGTAACAGCTTCTCTCAATGTTGGCCTACTTCTCAAAGCACATCCACACATTAAGCGCACACAGCGGTTGGTTTGTCCCAGATCAGATCTGCTTGCCTCTTAGGCTTTAGAGGCACTAATCTAGATTTAGACCGACCCACTCGGCTGCATCACAAGAACTCAGCTAGACTGGGTTACAGAAATAAACAGACGGCACTGATGTTGAGGAAAGAATAAATCAGTGATATTTAAAGCACTTTTGAATCTTCAGTGCCCTGGCTTAGTTTTAAGAAACTGTGTGAAATACAGCAGAATGTTTTATGTTTTTGTCAGTAGGATTGTAAAACTCACTGAGCAAATGCAGCCACAAGATGGCACTTTTCAGAGTTGCAAAGTTTACCTGGACTAGAACCTGCTTCATTTATAGCTCCAATGTAAATACACTGCTCATTTTGTAGAGTAAAACGTAATGGATTTTTTCCAGTGCTTTCAGAATTAGTTAACAGACACTGTGCAAACTGAGCTCTGCTAACACTGAATCTTTGCAAGCATCTACAGAGGCACCATGCTAATGCAAAGCCAAAAAGGTTTCTATTGTTAACTGATAATTATGCTGCAGTGCATTTCAGGTCATTTTACAGAGTGACAGGTTACTTTACATAAAGAACTGAGTAATGTGTAATACATTAGTTTTTGAGGGCCATCCTCAACAATGGTTACCACTTAAGATGATTTGGTCCTCAGAGGTTTAAAAATATGAACAGAGCAAGATTTCTTTTCTTATTTGTTTTTGTTTTTTCGAGGTTTTTTTTTTCTTCTTTTTTTTCATTGGGCTCATCCATTATCGATGCTCACACTTGAATGTTTAATGCTAATTTCAGCATTCTGGTAAATGTCCAGAAAGAGGAAACACCAGTGGAAAACATGACATGTGCACAAAAAAGCTCCCTACTGTTTAAAGAAATCAGCCAAAGTGCTCTGTGAGCTCAAAGTGAAAACTGCTAAACAGATATGTGAAGTTAACAGTTATTGGAGATGCTTTACTTCTGCTTTACTAAGTAGCAAGTAGTAACAGCTCTTTATCACACAACATAATACGTTACTAGCAGTACAGAAGGAAAATGAAACTGATCGCAGCTGACAGCATTACAAGTTTAAAACAGGACACACTGTAATAAAATAAAAGCGATAAATCAGTCTAGTAAAAATGTTTCTCAGAACTAAAAGTTCTGCAAATTTTGACATTTGAAAGCTTTCCGTGGTCATCAGGAAGGCCAGTCTGAATGCCATGTGTGCGGTTATTATATTTATTCTTCCCTTTCCATCCAGACTGGTTCAGGGAAGACGTACACCATGGGGACTGGCTTCGATGTCAACATAGCAGACGAAGAGCTGGGTATCATCCCCCGTGCTGTCCACCACCTCTTCAAGGGCATTGAAGAGCGCCGGCGGACCGCCCAGGAGCAGGGACGTCCTGTACCAGAGTTTAAAATCAACGCACAGTTCCTCGAGGTACACACCCACTTTCCAGCTTTTTTTTTTTTAACCTGTTTTTTGTTGTTGTCAAAATTTAACCCAGTAAATGAAAACACACATTTCTTAAACTTTCCAGTGTCATGGGTCAGGCTAATATTGTTGACACCGCTGGTTTAACAGGCTTTGACATGGTGCTCAGTCATTTGAAAATATCCACACTGCCACTGCAGCAGCTGTCGTCGGTGGGATTAGGAGGTGTTATGGGGCAGGTTGGGGGTGATAGAAGGTCTGTCTCTGGATAGAGAGAGTTAATAGGGATGATGTGACTTGACAGTTGTGCTAGGCCATCAGGCTCATCTTGAGCTGGGGAGGCAGTATAATGGTGATGGTCACACACGGCAAATAAGATGTCGTTTTAGATCTAAGGCTTCAAAAGTTACTAGATGGTGCAGATTACCTTAAAACTACTGGTAGCTGCTTTAAGTTTAACAAAAAAGAGAGAGAATGAAAGCTCCAAGCTGTTTGGCAGTGGATGAGATGTCTATATATCATTTAGACCCAATATTGTGAAACGTATACTGCTTTTTTTCTCAGTCATTTAGTGGTTCAAGAGATATTTTCTAAAAACGTTTTAATATGTAGCTAATGAAAAGCTCTGTTTTACTGCCATAATCAAAATGAGAGCCGAGCTGATTTAAAATAGCTGATTCTGTTATTTGAGTCACCTTCAGTGATCACAGTGTGCTAAAAGCAGTGACCTTAATGAGCAGTGAGTCTTTCACTGTACACTCATTGCTTTCACCTCTCAGGGCTGTTTACTGTACGGGCTGCTGTAACTTATTGTTTGGCCTGTACACAGTATGAAAGACATAACACCCACTGGCATTTTTGCAATTTGTAAGTTATTCAACTTTTCCGTTCTGATTTTTACATAATGAGACGCTTGATCTCAGAATCTCTTCAAGAGATCTGAGAACAGCAAACATTGATAATAATATAGGGTAGTAGACAGAAGCGACACAGCAATCACAGAATAATCTTTTGTTCCTGCTAGTTTGAAATATTTTCTTGCGTCTTCCTGCAGCTTTACAACGAGGAAGTTCTGGACCTCTTTGACTCAGCTCGAGACATGAAGCAGAAATCTCACATTAAGATCCATGAAGATGCCAACGGTGGAATCTACACAGTGGGAGTGACCACACGGACGGTGTCCTCCGAGGCTGAGGTAACACAGATTATGTGTTGCACTGTTATGCAGGTGTTCAGCGCGACATCATTGATTTCCCTTTAAGCATCAGTTTATTCTAAAACAAAACATCCCCAAGACAAAATGTGTGTAGGTTGGTATCAAAGATTTACTCAGTACTCTTGGGTATAAACCTTTGCACTGCTACAAGCGTTACTGGAGTAAAGCTTCATATATTCAGTATAAATATATTTTTAGCACTGCACTTTGTTTTGTGACTTTGCTGTTGTTTTTTGCACCAAATGTTTCAAAGTGGGTTCAACCATTGTATTAATATTTAATGCTCTGTCTGACTCTGTAGATGATGCAGTGCCTGAAACTGGGGGCTCTGTCTCGCACCACAGCCAGCACTCAGATGAACGTCCAAAGCTCCCGATCTCATGCCATCTTCACCATCCACCTGTGCCAAGTCCGCGTCTGTGCCTCTGACAATGTACGTCAATAAATCACTGCAAATCATGTCTGTTAGATCTTATCAATAATATCATTTCTTTCCTTTTTTTTTTCTCCTTTTTATTATCAATGATTGTTGGGGGTAAAAAAATCTGTGTGTACATGCTGCTGTCACTGAGTGTATTTACATGCATGATTTTTACACAGCAAGAAAATGACACTGATAATCGAGTCACCAACGGTAACTCTGAGATGGACGAGTATGAGACACTGACGGCCAAGTTTCACTTTGTGGACTTGGCCGGTTCGGAGCGGCTGAAAAGAACCGGAGCGACGGGTGATCGAGCCAAAGAGGGCATCTCCATTAACTGTGGACTGGTGAGTCTGCCTGTTCTTGCACCAGGATTTGTGAGGCAGCAAAGACTTCAAAGTCTAATGATATACTACCATCTGGTGGCAGACTTTACATATATACTTAAATTCAAAAATGAATTCAAAAATGAATGAATTATGAAGTATTTCCAGCTGAACAAAGTCAGCACAGTTAAAGTGACCAGGGGTCCCACGTTGTTCCACACAAACATGCTGTTTCTGGGATGTGGCCACCCAAATCGCAACTAAAAAAAAAAGTAGTGCTAAAAGTGTTAACTGTAACTCTACAAATGGACTGATAGCAAATTGTTGCCTCTCTATGACATCCTGTCTCCCTTTGTCTCCTGTCTTTTTGACCAGCTCGCCCTGGGGAATGTAATCAGTGCTCTGGGTGACCGGAGCAAGCGGGCCTCACATGTGCCTTACAGAGACTCCAAACTCACCCGACTCCTGCAGGACTCATTAGGAGGAAACAGGTCAGAGGACCACAGATTTGAGCTTTTTCCTCATAAAAACATTTTGTCTTGATTTGTTTCTGATACGGCAACGATTTCAACCGAATATCATCAAACAACAGTATAAGATGATGAGAACCAGTGCTGTTACAGTATATTTAATTAAAACTGAACTAAAACTAGATGTGGGGGGAAAAGCAATTAAAATAAAAGCTAGACTTGTTTAAAAGAATTGAAACTACCTGGAACAATTTTGAGAACTTGGAAATAAAAATAAAGATATAGAGAAAATATCCTTAGTTTTAGTGTTTGTTAGTTTGGAAAAAAAATTCTTAGAGCTTGCCTGAGTCAGTGATGAATGTGTGCATGCAATAATGATTAAAGCCACTAAAAACTAACACTGAAACAAATAAAAACTAAACTAAAACAAGATAATCCACCATGGAAACTAACTAAAACTAAATTGAGTTGAAGATGAAAAGTCAAAATGGAAAAAAACAAAACCCACCCCAGCTAATTAGATGGATATAAAACTGTTAACTGTGGGAGATGCCTGGGTGTGGATACCCACACACTAGATTTTTCTGCATAATTTCCTTCTCTGACCTCACCAAACAATTTCCATTAGTGAGAACATCTCAAACATTTTATCTCTTATGTTAATGTAAGAAATAACTACTAGGTGCAGTGTCCCACAGTGTCATAATTCCAATACTGTGTGGAAATCATGTGTGAAAATAATTTATGAAATGTCACTTTCTTCTTTCTCAGCCAAACAGTGATGATTGCATGCATCAGTCCATCTGACCGTGACTTCATGGAAACTTTGAACACATTAAAGTACGCGAACAGAGCGCGGAACATCAAAAACAAGGTGATGGTGAACCAGGACAAGGCCAGCCAGCAGATCAGCGCTCTGAGGACGGAAATAGCTCGACTGCAGATGGAGCTCATGGAGTACAAGACGGTGAGAAGACGGGAGGAATTTAAAGGACAGGGATGAGCCTTATGAAAAATGGAAGAAGAAAAAACCCACGTGACATGTCAAAAAAATGTAACTTTTTACAACAAACTATATTGTTTTTGCCCCCCCTGCAGGGTAAACGTTTGGTGGGTGAGGACGGTGTGGAAAGCTTGAGTGACATGTTCCACGAAAACTCCATGCTGCAGACAGAGAACAGCAACCTGAGGGTGAGGGTGAAGGCCATGCAGGAGACCATCGATGCCCAGCGGGCACGACTCACCCAGCTGCTCAGTGACCAGGCCAACCAGACCCTCGCCCGTGCAGGTATGCATCAAACTTATGAATTAGTTTAAGTAGAGTTGTTGGGTTTTTGTTTTTATATTGTGCCGCTCTAGTCAGAGTTAATGCATGATGTGCCTTTTTTCCCTTCATTACTCTTATCATGTTTCTCTTACAGGTGAAGGAGGCACAGAGGAAATTGGAAACATGATTCAGAGTTACATTAAAGAGATTGAAGACCTTCGGTAAACGAATTCAGATTTATTTCCTTGTTCATTTTTTACCTTTTCCTGTATGTTTTTGCCTCCTGTACTCATAAACATTAAGACTACCTCATTCTTTTAACAGTCACTACCCTGAAATGTTTGATGACATGTGAGATCACAGTTCAAGTGTTTTGGTCTGGACTTTTGATCCCAGTCAATATAACACTTGTGAAACCTTCCCAGGATCTCAGTGCGGACCAAACTCCAGAGCTTTTTCTGATCTCAGTCTGGATGAAACTAAACCGTCATTTCTTTTTCTGCAACAAAAACAGACTTGGGATGGTTCAAACATTTAGACTAAATACTAAAATACAGTAGACACGGATAAAATGAAAAGGTAGAGATGAAATTAGCACGGGAGAAGAGAACTTTTTATTGAAATATTTTGTAATGATGTTATAAATAGTAGGCTGGAAAAAATAGAATTAGCCACACTGGTGACACGGTATCTTCAGAGGGGAAAGCAATGTTGTCTGAAACTGCAGCAGTGCACAAACGGTGCACACAGTTGTAATAAAATCATTCTGTTCATTGATTTAAATGGCGATAAAAATACTTAAACAACCTGTTTAAAAAGATTCAACCTGATTATATGAAATATGAAGTGTTTTAGTGGACTTTCATAATTGGCAATGAGACTGAACATTGTTATTTCGGCTCCTCTCTTTAGGGGGCACCACAGTGGGGTTGAATATCTACAGTGTTAAACACAAGCCTTGTTTTAAGCCTTTAAACACATTTATATTACAGATGAAATTCATTTGTAAGGGACCAAATCTAGAGACACGGTGAAGGCTCTGTATTACAATCTGTCGGTGTCTTGATGCTATCCTCAGGGCAAAACTCCTGGAGAGCGAGGCTGTCAGTGAGAATTTGAGGAAGAATCTGTCCCGTGCCTCCAACCGTCAGTCGTTCTTTGGAGGGTCCAGCTCCTTTTCCTCCACTCTTCTGGCCCCCGAGAAGGAGACTGCTGACATTATCGAACTCGCTAAGAAAGATCTGGAGAAACTGAAGAAACGAGAAAAGAAGAAGAAGAAAAGGTAACTGTGACAATAAACAGAGCGGAGTTCTTGTTTTTAAATGGTTTTGAGGATTGGCTCTGTTGAATGTTTTATTACAGTCGTGCATATATTTGAGTGAGTTTCATACTGGAATGGCATTTTTATTTATCCTAAACCATTCATAATTTTCCAAAGGCATGATTGCTTTACCCAGAGGTCAGTTTGACTTGTTTCAAAGGTTCGTCTTTGTATATTGGAACGAGGACACTTAAAAGTCACAAATAACTTATTGAATAATTTATAAACATTTGACTTCATTTATACACATAAACCCATCAGCTTTATGTTTTCAGTCGTTAGTTCTCTGGTAGTGCTGTACTGTCGCTGCACTGTAAATTTCAGTGCAAGCAAACACAGCAGATTGATCGCAGGCTCAGGTTTTATTTTATTTTTTAACTCAGAGCTGCCCCGGGGGCACTTTGGGGGCTGAAAGGTGGATTAAAGGTGTGGTTTTCAGTGCAGAGCTTCCTCTGACCAGTCTTCCCTCCATTCTTCCTTTGTTCATCTCTTGCTTCCTTCTCTCGTTTGACCCTCCCTGAAGACTCCAGCTGCTGTTGGAGGAGAGAGAGAGGGAGGAAAGGGAGGAGGTGGTGGTGGAAGAGGTTGAGGATGCCAGGTTTGTCAGAGCTTCCACCCTCCTGTTGCCATTCCCATGCTTCCCCATAATTCAGCACTTTATTTTAATTTTATTGTTTATGTTTGGGCAGGTATTTCCCTGCTCTGACGTGAAACATACTACTGTCAAAGCACATCACCTCCCTGAAACACAGTTTTGCCACTTAATAAGCTTTAATCTCCTATTTTCAAACAATCTAAGGCTGGATGACAAAAAATCTGTATTAATCTTTTATTTTCTTTTTGATCACTTTACCCGGGTGGTTTTTGTGTGAAATGCTACCTTAGCATTGCTAACCCCCTGAGTTTGGATAAAATATTTATCCAACAGATCTGCTTCATGGATTTGGTTAAAACATTTATTTTTCGTACTGCATTTTCCTTCCATGCTTCTTTACTTTGCCAGTTTTGACCAGCCTGATGAGATGCCTCCCTTCTTTTGTTTAAAAATACTGTCTTTTGCACAATCAAGCTTATAAAATTGGAGCAATCCCAACTTATATTTTGTGGTCTTATCTAAGTCTCACTGTGTAAGACTTGTTTATGTTTTCTCACAGAGACGAGTGTCTGCAGAGATCGAGTCATTGGAAACTAAACCTTGCATTGTGGTGAAACCAGTCAAAAAGCTTCTTTGCCAAAAAGACAGTGTAACCTCCCTGATGTTAAAGATGCCATGCACAGATATGTTACTTACTACTGCGTTTATCCAGAAAATGAACGTTTCTTTATTGCCAGCAGATTAACGTGCAATCCACTTCCTGCAGAAAAAGCTTCCAAGTTCTCTTCTTACATTACAAATGGAAAACTGATTACAACGTCTTTTAAATCTTTCAGCGTCAACAAAGAAGAAGTTCCTGACAATGAGCAAGAAAAGGGTACAGAGAAGGAAATGACAGAGAGGGCCAGTGAGGACACGGAAATGGTATGACGGACTCCATTATGTTCCTCCATTATTTATATAATCAACCTCGTATATACAGTGTACTAACTAGTACTTTGAAATAAAAAGGTATATTTGTTTTATGCTGTAGGAGGTCCAGGATGGCAGTGACCATGAGGAGGGAGAGGAAGAGGAAGAAGAGGAGGAGGAAGAGATGGATGTAGAGGAGAGCTCTGATGACTCTGACTCAGAGTCGGATGAAAAAGGTATCCTGCATGAATTTTTCTTTTTATTGATTTAATGAAACTGTCTTTAAAGTGTCACATGTAAGCTTCGACCCCCTTTTTTCCCCCATTCAGATGGAAGATTTTGAGCCAGCTGGTTACACGAGATCTCGTTTAAATTCAGTACATTAGCAACTGAAAACAGACATGTTATGAACCCTGTTTAAATGTGTTTGAAGTTCTCTTTATACTTGTGAGCCTCACTCATAGGCCGGCCATCTAAATCATTAAACCTTTGAGAACCCACTGTTCATGTGATAGTTTTCTTCTGAGTGACCTGAGAATTTTCTCTCATTCTGTTCATTCTCATTCAGGTGCTTATTACCTTTACCAAGAAAGTGACGTTTTTGGTGGCATTTGCACGTGCCTATACACACAGTAGCTCAAGGTTTTGAATGAATTTTGATCAAACTTTGTTGGGATAGAGTAGGGTCATGTTAACTATCCACTGAAACTTGCCTTACATCCACCAAGGTCTTTAAAGTCAGCTTAGGGCTGTGCGATATGACCAAAATCTTATATCCCAATATAAGAATTCTATCATCCCGATAATGATACAAATCACAAAAATGTAAAATTTTCTGTAAAGTCTGTGAATCTCGGGCAGCTTGTCTTGCAGGAAGTGTTTCCAGCTGCGCGTCATGTAGCTGGACTCCAGTGTTTTAACAGATGCATGAAACGATACATTTTTAGACATAAGTTGTAAAGGCCGCCGTTTTCTTTGTGAGTATTTATTACACAGCGTGCTGCGGGGAAAAGCCTGTTCTAACGTTTGAGTCTAAGGTTTATTTTTTACCACCTGGCGGCTCTTTTTTAATTCTCATCCGTTAATAATCTGCTCTTTCACGTGATTCAGTTTATTTTGAAAAGTCTCAACAGGATCTTGAGCTTTATTGTGAAAGGTTTATGTGGAACATTAACAAGCGGACACGCGATGCTGTTACCGTCGTTGTTGCTAACCACAACGCATAAAAACAGGCGCTTGTCCGTCGGTAGTGTGGTTATATTAAATATAAGAGAAAGAGAGAACTTTAAGAAATTAATATAGCCACTACAGTGACCATCACAACGATGAAAAAATATTGCCGTAAACAGTTTATTTTGCGACACCACAAAACAAATGATAGCGTAAAATGAAACGATAGACGTTTTTATGTCGTCATCCGATATATATCGTTATATCAAACAGCCCTAAGTCAGCTTAATGATTTGTTGGCCTTACAAAGTGTGTTTTTATAGGCGTGATCTGTATTGTGAACATACAGAATGTACCGTTTACAGATTTAAAATATCATGCCACATTTGACCTCTGACCTCACTTTCAAGGTCAATCATTTATTTTAAAATCATAGTGATAATAATGCTACATAGAGCTGTCTAAAACGCTTTCATACTGTCATTGTTTGTATTGACAACATAAAGGAATATCGGGAAGAATATATGGGAATTCTAAATCTCGCGTTATAGTTTGTATCCAAATATCATGCCACATTTGACCTCTGACCTCACTTTTACATTACACATCTGCTTTTCTTTCAAGTTGAAGAAAGTATTTCCAAGTCAATAAATCCATGTAAATGAAAAATTGTACTGAGAATTATGTCAGGTTTATTAAAGTGAGCTTCAACAGGACAAATACCATTTTAAAAAGGCTGCACTTTGTAGTGCAGTAAAAACAGCTGCAAACTTTTTAATCTATGTTTAAAAAGAAGAAATTGAATATAAAGAAAATACAATGCTATTCCCTTAAAAGTAAACATTGTGCAGACAATGAACTGCCTTGGTGGGGGTTTGTGCTCACAGTGCTTCTTGTAAGGAGCATTTTTTGTTTTTAGGCTTCCAAACAGATACAAATTGTAATATTAGACAGTGTAAAAATTCAAGTACAAACTCCTGGTTACGTCCTGTTTTTCTGGGTTTTACATGGCTCATTATAGAATATACTGCCCTTCATGCATATACTCACTCCCAGACTTTGAGGGGTATATGCATGAAGGGCAGTGAGCAAAACAAAAATGTCTGCTTACATAAATTAAGACCCAATTACTCAATTAAAAAAACTGGTTTACAAAAACATAATTTGATGTAATTGCTTGTGATGGTCTTTAGGCTCTGCCTAAAACTTCTTTAGGTTTAGCATTTCATGTTTTCAGGTGGGCAAAAACACCTTTTCTAAGATAAAATATGAAGTAGTACAAATTAATTTTCTTTCACTTCTTTTCAGTTTTCAAGTTGAACTTGGGACTAAACAAATTAAACCTGACTATGTGTAATCCAAGATTATTTAAATGGATCTTCTAACAACAATATACAAGAACTGCTTGAGATTTATGCCTGTACCTGTGGATGTCGATACTTAATCAGCTCGTCGGTGTCTCACAGAGAATTACCAGGCAGATCTGGCCAACATCACCTGTGAGATTGCCATTAAGCAGAAGCTGATTGATGAACTGGAGAACAGCCAGCGGCGTCTACACACACTGAAACAGCAGTACGAACAGAAGCTGATGATGCTGCAGTGCAAGATCCGAGACACCCAGCTGGAGAGGGACCGCGTCCTCCAAAACATGAGTAAGACGGCGAGGGAAGTGGGAGGTCACATATCAGTCAGAGGGGAGAGCACTGCAGTGTGTGACATAATTTATTTACATGTGCTCTGACAGTTTGGATAAAATCATCCACCAGGAGGCACTTGTGGGTTTGGTTCATCATATCTCTGCCTCTGATCAGCTTATTTCAATCTCAAACAGAAAGTATATACTTATTTGATCTGAGCCTTTGTTTTTCTTTAGCAATGGAAAAACCTGTTTATGAACGTGTGCTGGCAGACGGGGACAGTTAATACATCAAAGTTTGTCTGAGACGGATTTTAAAAGAATGGATTTTAAAGCCAGACTTATTAGTTTTGTTAAAAAAAACACACACACACACACACACACACACACACACACACACACACACACACACACACACACACACAC